GGGGAAGAAACTGTTAGGAGAAAAGAAAGAAGGGAAAAGGTTTCATATATATACATAACAGATAATCATGCTACTAATCTGTTAGTTAATAAAAAAGAATGGCTTATGCTCTTATTGTTTGAGCATTTATTCATGCTTGTATCTTGTAATCTGTGCACTACTTTGTCATCATCTACTTTGAAAATAACAAAACACAATATATTAACCATTGTTAATCTCCTATTATTTGTTTTGAAATTCTCTATCATCATTTTTTGTTTTTTTTCCTAAAAAAGAATATTCAATTTCTAAAAACACAAGAAGATTATCAGCTAAATGGAATGAAATTTGTCAAACTGAGATATATTGCCAATGAACACGAACTATTCAGCTAGGATGCGTATTTGTCTGTGATAACTTAGACTTGAAGATTCAAATAATGACAGTTTATTGGAAATAATGAGAAACAAATATGCAGTCAGTGTGAGCACAGGAGATGTAGGAGACATTCCGTGAACAACCTAAACTGTGGAAATACCCTCACATTTTCTGTGTATCCTGCCACCCTTTACCATAACAAAAAAACACCAATTAAACAGGAGAGCTGGTTGAGAAACAACTCCACAGCTGCTGGCTATAGTTGACTCCATGGATATACAAATAGAATAATGTATTTTGCAGAGCATCATATAGTGTTCTTGCAAGGGTATTCCATTCATTTTAAGAAAAGAACTTAGAAATCTCAGAAGAGTTATTCACATAGCATTGAAAATACAGAAGTTTAGCCGGGTGTGTGGCACATTCCTGTAATCCTGGCACTCGGGAGGCTGAGGCAGGAGAATTGTTCACAAGTTCGAGACCAGCCTGGGCTACAAAATAAGCTGAAGGCCAGCCTGAACTGCATAGTGAGACCCCGTCTCAAAAAGATAAAAAGAAAGAAAGAAAATACAGAAGTTTTCTTTAGTTTTTTAAAAGTATTTTTCTTGAATTAAGGAGTGTTGGTTTCTCTTGCTCTTTTTCTCAAGTCATGTCTCCTAGATAGCTTAGACGAAGCTCTCCTTTGTAGAGAAGATTAATACGCAAACATTTCCAATAATAGTCATATGCAAACAATTGTTTTAAACCAAAGAAAGAAATATAAGTGAATTGGAGTCACCTTTTATTAGAAGAATTATGCAAGAAAACGTATTTCTTATAGAGAAGCAAATTACAGAGTATTGTCTCATTCAAAGAAGAATTGTAGATATCTAAGCTAAAATGCAAGACAACAGATATCCTTAAAAATTCCCTTGCCTGAGGAAAAGAAAGAGGTGGGAGGATGACCAAGGAGAGGGAGAGAGAGAGGGAAAGAGAGGAGGAGATGAAAGAAGACAGGAGGCAGGCAAGGAGGAAGACAGGGGAACAAAGGAAGGAGGAAGGAAAGACTGTTTTGTCATAAACCAAAGAAACACACATTAGAAGCATTCAGAATTAGAATAAACTTTAAAAGGCAACATTATGTAAAAAGTCAACGTTTTGAACTATGACTTTTTAAAATACAAAAGAATAATGATTTACAAATGATTTTTTTGTTTGTTTGTTTTGAAGACATGGTGGTTTAGGCTGGTCTCACATCTCAACTTTCTCCAACTTGTGATCTTCCTGCCTCAGCCTCCAGGTGCTGGGATTACAGACGTGCACCATCGTGCCTGGCACAAATGCTATTTTTAGGAGAGAGAAAATGAAGAACCAGTATTTTTTACATCATTGGTTTTTGTGAATTAAAGAACTGAAAAACTGAATTTGAAAAGTTCCTGAACTTTATGATTCAAAGACCGTAAAAGAGACCTAACATCAAAGTAGAAGAACTATACAATAAAACTTTAAAATCTCCAAATTTAGTAATATATTGAATAAATGCAGCAGAACATGTGATGGTGGCACAGGAGAAGCAATCACTACTCACCATCATTATTACTAACTCTTTACAGCAAGTAAGTGATGGAAGCAGTTTTCAAATTCAGATATTCTAGCTTACAAGATTTATAGAAAGTCTATCTGAAATTCAAATTCATTTTATGCCTAAACTCTAATCGCCTACAGTTCACTACAATCCTTCAATAAAATCTGTATAATTAGCAGCCCTGATTAATGTTTTGTCAAGAAGGAAGCAAAATGGCTGTAATCTCAGGATTTCAAGCAAATGGAGCATAAAAATGGGTAGAGTCCTCAGTATAGAAGTAAAGAATGGGTACTAGGAGAATACTGTGAAAAACCTGTGACAGCCAACTAGAAATCCCAGAACAAGTAGGCCATGTTCTTGAAATATAGGAAGCACCAAAATGGACTCAAGAAAAAAACTGATCACGATTGGTCCTAAGTAGGGAGGATGAATTATTGAAAATCTCAAACAATGTCCAAGCTAAGAAATGTCTTAATTATGATTTCTATCAATTATTTAAAGATGAGTTAGTATCAACTGCTTACAGTCTCTTCTTAAAACTAGAAGTTAATGTAACAAAATCAGCCACCACTATAAAAGAAAATTACAAATCATTATTTCTTTTGAACCTATATACCACAATTCTCAAGAAATTCCAGGCCAGGTGAGGGTGGTAGCATCTAAAATAGATTATGTCCTGAGGCCAAGTAGACTAATCCAAGAAAGACAAGATTGGTTTAATATCCAAAATGTAGTCAGTGTCATAACATGTATCAAATACGGTTCAAAATCAACAAAATTATCTGAATAGGGGCAAGAAAAATACAAAAATTGGAAACTTTTTCATGATGCAGTACTCAAAAAATAGGAATATAAGAGAATTATCTAAAGGACACCTATGAGAATCTTACAGTTAGGAGTTAGGAGTTTTCTCCTACCATAAGGTTGGTTAAGCACTGCGGGTCTGTGTGTTCCCCCAGATTCTGGCAGATGGACTCTTGTGGAGACACCTGGGTCATGAGAGTGGACGGTGATGAGATTCGTGTCCTCCCCTCCTCCGGACCGAAAGGAGAGAATGTGTTTCCTCTACACTCTCTGCCATGGAGGAAACAAGAAAATGATCTATCTGCAAGGAAGAGGCCTTATCAGACAGGACATCTGCTGGCCCTTTGACATGGATTTTCCAGCTCCTAGAACTGGGAGCAAGTAATGTTTGATGTTCAAGCCACCCAGTGTACGGTGTTCTGCTTTAATATCAGGGACCAAGAAAATAACCAATAAATATATTTGCTTTGAAATTTTGGCCCAGCATTATTGGATCTTCTAGGGGACGGGCACACAAGAAAAGAGAGGAGGAAGGGAGAAACAGAAGGAAAAAGGAAAGGAAGGAGGAGAGGAGAGGGGAGGAGAGGAAAAGGAGCATCAGTGTTGGAAAAGAATATGGGAAGCATTTTTATTCATACATGGCATGGTCTGGAACATGAAAACAATGTAAGAATCCACAAAAGGTAATTAGAGTTAATAAATTAGTTTATCAAAATTCTAGGATACAAAACCAATAGAGAAAAGTCATCTATGTTTTCAAATGATCAATAAAAAATTCAAAATTTAAAAATTAAAAAAATCAAGAATTCAATTTACAACAACACCAAATGAATAAATGCTAATTTTAGACAGAGTAATGTAGAACTTGTACACTGAAAATCAAAATCCACTTTGAAATAAATAAAGGAAGACCTATGTAATGGAATGGTATCTTGTGTTCATGGAATATTAAGATAAAAAATATTATCAGAATTGACCTACTTGAAATCTCACAGTTTCTTAATTAATTAATTAATTTTTATTTATATGGATCCACATACATTATGAATACATTCACTGTGAGTAGTTGGTGCATTTACCTAGCAAATATTAATTTTTACATCTTCTTCCTCTCTATCTTTCCTCCCTCCTTCAATTTTTTTGTCCCCTTCTCGTTTATGAAAGATTTATTTCTGTAGTTCATATTGACTGTAATTTATTTTGCTTTTTGATTTATTTATACTTTAGGCTTTTTGTAAAAGAGAAACCATACAATCTTTAAGCTTGCATGTCTGATTTATTTCACTTCACGTAACCCTACCTTTCCAGAATCAGCAATACAACTAAGTTTCATATGAAAACACAGAAGATGTAGTAGAATCAAAACATCTTTGGAAAAAGAGGAGAATTGTTGCATATTTCCCAATCTACAACAAACTACAATAAATAAAAGACAGTGTGCCACTTGCATAAGGAAATAGATCAAAAGTTACAGAATTGAGTGTAAAAATAAAGCCCTCAATTTAAAAACAAATTTTTTTCAGCAAAGTTATTGAGACAATTCATTGGGGAAAAGGAAAATTTGCAACAAATGGTGCTTGAAGTGGATGTCTGTATACAAAATAACTAATCTTTTCCCTTTACCTTGTACCATAAACAATAATTAACTCAAATGAATCATAGATCTAAATGTAAGAAAAGAACTATAAAATTCATAGAAGAGATAATAAATCTTTATTATGTTGGGTTAAGCAATAATTTTTTCAAGAATGACAGCAAATATATAATTGCTGAAGGTAAAATAGTAAATAAGAGTTCAAAAAAACCTAAAAACTTGTGTGTGCTAAAGGACATAATTAAAGATTCAGAAGAAAAATTTGCAAACAATGTATCTGACACAAATAACTTACGTTCAGTATATATAAAGAACATCAGAGAATTTAACAATAAAAAGCAAGCAATGTAACAAAAATAGCTAAAGGATTTGAATGTAAATTTAATGAAAATATAAAAGTAGCTAATAAACTCACGAAAAGATTATATATCATTGATCCTTGGGGAAATGAAAATAAAAACCAGGATATTATACTACTGCAAGCCCACTACAAAAGACACAACAACTTATTCACTGATTGACTTACATGCTGTATCCAACACTTAGCTATTTTAAATTGAGCTGCCCTAAACATGGGTGGAATGCAACCCTGTAACATGGTGTCATTCATTCTTTCAAGAAGATACCTAGAAATAGAATAGTTAGCTCACACAGCACTTCTATTTCTGGTTTTGTGAGGGAGCACCACACTGATTTCCACAGTAGTTATACTAGTTTACATTCCTACCAACAATGTAGAAGTTTCTTTTTCTCGCATCCTCAACAGTATATGTTATTATTAGATATTTTTGATAACAAACATTCTTTCTGTTGTTCTTGAAAAATCAGTGCAGTTTTCATTGGCATTTCCCTCACGGTCAGCAATGGTGAGTACATTTTCATGTGTTTATTGGCCATCCGTTCTTTTGGAAGTGTCCATTTCGGGTGCCCATTTTTTATTGGGTCTTTTAGTTTTTGGAGGGGTCTCTGTCTCATTCTGTAAATTATATCTTCACTCTGTTGGTTGTTTCCTTTGTTGTGAAAAAGTAGTATTTCAGGCAATGCCATTAGTTACTTCATGGTGTTATTTCTTGTACCCCTGGTGCTCTGCTCAGAAAGTCCTTGGCTATGCCTGTGTGTTTGAGTTGTACCTCTTTTGTCTTTCAGCAGATTAAGTGTTTCTGTTTTAATATTTAGATCTTTGATCCATTTTTACTTGAGTGCATGGTGATATATACGGGTCGAGACTCAGTCTTTAGCATGTGGATATCCAATTTCCCCAGCACTATTTATTTATTTTTAAATTTTATTTAAAAGGAAAAAAAGAAAAAAAAAGCAGAACAAAACAAAACAGTGTAAGGGTACAAGTAATTCAGAACTACAAAAACACAAAACAAAACAAAACAAAACAAAAAAACAGTATGCTATCACCAGTTAATAGATTACTCGCTATCATCTTAGAAGTGGTGTTTCAGGTCACAAGATCAAAGCACACAAAACGAACATTCAAACAGTGAGACTGCAAACAGTTGTGTTCAGTAATCCAATCCAAAATATCAATATGGTCTTCTATGTAACACACCTAAACACCCTTGCTGTTGTATCCTTCAGGGCACTTTTCTTTCCTTCTCTTTATTACAACGAAATTTACACATTTTGGGTTTTATTGCTCCCTTAGATCTTATTACTTTTTTTTGTAAGAGAATAAAATCAAGCACGATAAAACAAAGCTGTCAGTCAAAACCAAGGATAGACATAGCACGTGATGTAAAAACAGAGTACAAGGTTATCAACAATGGTTACCATAATGCCTCTTGTATCCTTAAGAAGATTTGTCTATCTCTTTAAGTATTATAAAGTTGAACAAAACAGTAGAGAACAAGACCAATAAAACCTAAACTTTGTAAATCTTACAGAACCTCAAAAGAGGATAATAGTCAAAGCAGAATGGGCATCATAGTGAATCTTATTGCCTTCAAAGTAGTTGCCTATATTCTGATACTTGATACTTTCATACAGAGCAGAATAGAGTCTAATCAGTCAAAACAAGATAACGGGGGTATTACAGGACTTCCAGTTGATAGGAAATCAAAAAAGTTACTATAATATATCCTGCTAGATTTTTTATTTTTCCCCTTAGTTTAAAAAAGAAATTTAAAAAATTAAATAATTTTTTAAAGAATAAGGGAGAGGATGAGATAAAAGGGGGCATACCAACATAACAATACAGGTTAAAGCATGACACTTTCAGCAACCTAGTGCTTCACCACCAAATAACCCGACTTAATAGTAGTTACCATAGTGTCTTTTTCCTTGAAATATTTGAATATAATTTCATATGCTATAGCATCAAACATATCAAGACTGTGTAACACCATTCAAGTGGGTGAATGCATTGTAGAGTATTTAGAACCAGCTAACAGAAAAAATGATCAATGGTTTCTATATTGTCTCTTTGCCTATAACAATTTTTGTTTATACTACCACATACGATAAAATCCAGCAAGCTACAACATGATAAAATCAATGGAGACAGAAGAGCCATAGTTTGGTGCGGCTTCAAAACAAGATGATATTAAATCAGCACTAGCTATTATGATGTCTTGTTTTCTTCAAAATAGCTGTTCATTGCATCACAGGCCATAATATAAAATAGCCCAAAATCAAGCCATTCCAATTAATGAGTGAAAACTTTATAAGGCTTCAAGGCCACATCATGGGGAATCATGGTTACCACAAACTTTTACATATTTGAATCATTTCCTACACTAGGGAAACTATTCGGTGTTCATAGATGCGAGTTTGATTTAGTTCACTTATGAGTATGGTTTCAAGCACTATTTATTAATGACATTGTTCCTCCAGTGTGCTTTTGGTTCCTTCAACAGATGAAAAAATAAGAAAAATTTATTTATGCACAATGGAGTGCTGTGTTGCCACAAAGAAGATGGGCTTACAGTTTTCACAGGTAAATGGATGCAACTTGAGAACATATTAAGTGAAATAAGCCAGACCCACAAGGACAAATATCTCTTAGTTTCTCTTTTATGAGAAAAACACGCCAGAGAGAGAGAGAGAGAGAGAGAGAGAGAGAGAGAGAGAGAGAGAGAGAATAGATGACGGATAAATTGGAAGCAGAGAAAAATTCAGTACTTCAAATTACATATTCCAATATTTCAAAAGTAATTCAACATATATGCTAATTTGTTTCGTTTATTCTTCCAGCTTAATTTAATTCATTAAAAAGAAAGTTTTTGTCATCTTTTTATTTCCTTTTCAGTTTCTATCTTGCTCTCTAAGTAACTACTTTGAAGATAATGATACATACTGTTATTTTCTTATAATTTTGTTATAAAATTTTATTTTGTTTCCTACAGAAGATATAACAAGAAGTCTTGACAATGATGTGACAATTTCGAACTTTTACACATTGATGGTACTGATGCAAAATAGTAGTTTCGAAAATTTTTGACAGATTTTTACTGAGGTAAACATTCATTATCATGTGATATAGCCATTCAACTAGAAGCCATATACACAAAAGAAATGAAAATATATATCCACACAAAAATGTGTATAATGACATTATTGACAATAGCCAAGAAGTGGAAATAATCTAAATGTCCATCAATAGATATCTCTGATGGATGCCCAACACGAAAAATCAGGGTAAGGAGTCATCATTCATAATGAATGGATAAATAAATTATGCATATCTAAATAGTGGACCTGGAATGTATCATGCTAAGTAAGGAAAAAATAATCACAAAAAAGATGTGATAAGCCACATGTGATAAGATTGTATTTTTATGAAATGTGAGGAACATAGAAATGTATAGATACAAAAAATAGATTCATATTTATCTATATCTGGGGCAAGAGTGGGATAAAGGGGATGGTGGATGGGCATAATGTGTGTGTAATTATTTCTGAATTGTTGAACATATGTTGAAATTAGTGCTGATGAATATAATAGAAACTATTGGACTTTATGCATTACATAGGAAAATTAACATATTCTATAACATGAAATATAGACCAATTGAATTAATAAAAGGAAGGAAGAAAAGAAAGAAGGGAGATCAAACAAATAGGCAATGAAAGATAACAAACTTAAGCACAAAGATGAAGAAATATAAACTGGTAATACCTGCATATAAAGATAACAAACTATTTTTGTGAATTAAAATGTAACTATGTTAAAATGCTCTTTTTCATTGATTTTATCAAAAATATAAAGGTTTAGTGATGTTCTATTTGTAGTATTGGAAATATAGATCAGAGCAAACATTTTAAAAAGTAATTTGAGTAGGTAGATAAGACATAGCATGATATAGATATAAAAATATCTTATATTTGAAAGCATATATATAATGACCTAACAGTTGTTTTTAGAGCCTTATCCAAATATCTTCAAACAAGCAAATTTACAAGAATATTTAATGCATTATTTTTGGTATCATAACAATGTAATTTAATGATGGAAATCAATAGAGTTTAAATTAATAATATTTCCATACATTAAAACGTAGCACAAATTCAGAATTACAGCAGGGAAAGCAAATTGCATTGGAGAAGCATATGTATCTTATGAAATAAAAAATAAAATTATATTGGAGTGTACAATTATTTTATGTATAGAAAATGCTTAAAATATGTACACATAATACTTCAAAAGGGTATTTGTGGGAAAGTTATGGAAATCTTTCTTTCTACATATATATCCAAACTTGCAACTGCTCATGGTAAAGATTTTATTAAAATGCCTGAAATGTGCACAGGGACATATTGATTTGAAATCACTTTCTTGAAATGTAAGTGATACTCCATAGTTTTGAGATCCATGAGGTGGAATTTTTTATTTATATTCTTCATATCTCCAACATTCAGTCTTACAATTTGTGTTCAGTTATATCAAAGAGGAAACATAGCTCCACAGTTATTGATAACTCAGGATCCTTTTGTCTTTCTGCTCTCCCATAATAGCAAGTTTCATCTTCAAGCTCACTGCTTGATCTAAGGTGGAGCCTGGAGCTCTATTTTTCTCAGTTTTGCACTCTTTTATTGAAAATGCATTTGTTTGGAATTGAGCGCTAATAATCATTCTCATGATAAAATTACAACTGGGTAATTTCTATTGTAATTAAATTTCCAGGGTTAAAAATTACGTTATTTCTGATCTTTTTCACCATCGCTGTATCATCTCTCCTGACTTTTGTAATAAAATAAAACAGAAAAATAATTTTCTTTCTTTTAATTTTTTTTTAAATTTTAAAATGACAAAAGGACAAAATAATAATATGGAATTTCAAAATAACATAATAGATTAGCAATAGTTAATATATTGTGTATTATTGTCTTCAAAGTAGTTGCTCAGATTACAAGATTTAGGCATGATGAAATGATCAAACAATGAAACCACAAATCATTCTTTTCAAAGAGGCTCTATTACGTCAAGTGAAATCCATATATTTTTCTGCTATTCAACAATGTACCTGGTCTATTGGCTCCCTTAAAATTCCCATCCACAAACATGTTGTCTTTCTATATTCTCACATCTACAATGTGGGTATCTTATAGCAAAACATTGAGGTTTGACATTTGGCTCATCATTTCTGATATTCACATCTGGCAGCATTATGCAGTGACAGGTCTTTCATAATTTGTTTTGAATCCACTCTGGTAATGTTAATTGTAAGTGATGAACTTTGTGTGTTGTGCAGACATAATGGGCAATTCTATATGACTGATACTTCGCATCTCACTCTATACTAATGGCACTAATTGTAATAATCAGTGATTATGTCAGTTAAAGGCAGGGCTCATGGCAACCCATGACAGCAGTGAAAGCCCTGACACCATTTTGAGCAGAACTTGGAACAAGCAT